ACTTGGTTTCAAACAGTTTTAAGCTTCTTGTCTAGGGTTGCCAAGTCAATTGTTCTTACCGGCGGAGGAGCCTCGCCGGGCTCCGGGAGTCGTCCGTAGAAGTGCGCGCGCCGCCAGCACGTCACCAGAAGTGACGCGTGACGTTGATCACGTTGAAGGCGTGGCCCCGATCGTCAGAGGGAAAACCATAGAGTTTTCCCACCGACGATCGGGGCCATGCCCCCAACATGATTGATGTGGTTGTGTCACCTCCGGTGATGCAGCCACGCTGTGCTTCAGGGGGCGGAGTTCCCCCCGGGGCCCGATTCCGCGGTGGCGGAAATCGGGCTTCCAAAGCGGGGGTTTACCCGCCACCCGCCCCCACTTGGCAGTCTTATTCTTGTCTCATTATCATCATTGGGTGTTCATAGACTTTTACATACATTACCTCATTAGTGCTTAGGACATCTCAGCAAAGTCAGTTGATTTTATCCCTGTATTGTAGATGGGATAAGGGAGAACTGAAGCTGAGGTGCTAATCCAACTAGTGATTTCATGGCAGAGTCAAGATTTGAATCATAGACATTCTGGTTTACAGTTCCATGTTTTATACACTGTGCATAAGAAAGAGCTAGTTTAGGTTTGATCCAGCAGAAGGAATGCAGATTTTCTTCATATTCCCCTTCCCCCATCATTCTTTGACCTTGGAAAAATAATATAAAACATTGGCCTTTTGTTGTTAAAGAACACACTTATGAATGTCATTGCAGTGGAAGAAACTAATATTTGTGTATTGTCTGCCCCTAATGGAGTATTTGTGAGTAGGGTCCTAGCAGGGGCATGAGGGCATCAATACAAGAGTTTACATTCAACATTTCATTGTGAAAACTGCCACACTCCAAATCCCAGTTTTAAACTATTGCTGCTGTTCATTTAAGGACATTTCTCTTCTGAAATAGTACAGCCTTCATTCAGAAGTGGTATAGTTTCAGAATGATTAATGCCATCCTAAGCAGAGTTATGCACTTCTAAATCTACTGAAGTCAGTGGGCTTTGAAGGATGCAACTCTGTTTAGGATTATACTATAAGTATGTCATCCCTTAGTTCTAAAAAAAAAGAATAATGTTTTAATGAAAAATATTCACTACTGCCTCCTTCAGGAGGTTTTGCATATCTTTGAGCATCTAAAAACTGTTATGCTGCAAAAAACAAAGGTCATTCGGAGACAGCACAGCAGATTTGAACCAAGATCTGGGAGACATGACTTTGGATCCCCACCCTGCCATGGAAGGTCACTGGGAAACTTTCCAAGCTGGGAAATCAGTCCAAGCTGCGTCACAGGTGGTTGTTACGGGTGGAGAGAGAATAATGTTGTAAACAGCTTAAGGTCCTCTTGGGGAGGAAAACGTGGTATAATTATATCAATCAATACATATCTTAATAAATCAAAAAACATATGTTCCGTATTAGAAAGTTAAATTCTGATTTATACTCTTAGTTGAACTTGTAAGTAGTGTTTCCTATGGTTTAAATTTATATGCAGGCCATGTCATCATCTCTCACACAGCCAGTAACTCTTTGTTATAGACTGACAAATAAATTAGTAGCTGACCTAAGATGGTCTTCTGCATACTTTTGATTTTTAGTTTCCTCTTTGTGACAAGCACTGAATCTTTGCATCTTTCAGTCTGATTACAAATGGTTCAGTAGGCACAATCAAGACATGCATAGCTGCCCTTATCAGAACTATATCTTCATGGACATATCTCGCATTACCATTCTTCATGGGATTATTCACATCACCTTCAAGGGAACAACTGACTTTGTGTTTCATCTCAATAATACTGTATGTTGTTGGGAAATTATTATTTCCCATGATGTCTCTTGTATTTAGCACATGATTATTACCATCACATGTCTAAACAGGAAGATTGTGTCCAAATCTCAACAAAAGATCAGAATGTAGCCACTTCATTTCGATTTATAATGCCCTTGGTCCTTAAACATTATTATTGTTTTTTGTGTTTATATACTTCAGTTACATGGGTCATTTGTGGCAGTAAAAAGTTTGTAGATGCAGTTGTACCAAACACCCCCTACCATGAAGATATGAGACAATTGTATGGGCTTAACTAGTTTATTTAAATGGCTGATCTATATCATAATTTATTAAAATGTGCCAACAGATTTTAAGGGGTGACCTGTTTTAGGCAGCCTAGCAAAGGCTTCCTTTGCTGAAAAGATCCACCTTGGCTCCAGACTTGGCCAGCAACTATGCAAGCCTTGTTTATAATTACCAGCACATAAGGTTGTCAGGCCTGGCCTGGCAAACAGCAGAAGACCAGGGGGCAGCTGGCAACAAAGTCATGACATCACTTCCAGGTAAGCCTGAAAGTAATGTCACACCTCTCTAGGAATCACTGGAAACCTCTGTGGTAAAACTGTAAAGGGGTTGGGGGGAAGTTCTTAGAGAAGAGTGATGTCATTTCTAGCCATCCTACCTGGTCTCCTGCTGGTAGGAGATCTCCTGTCCGCAATGGACATGTGACAGCCCTACATGCACATGTTATCTGCCATGTTTCATCACCCTTCCTAATACACCTTAAGCTACTACCAGTTTAGCACCAAGGGTATTTAGCACCATGGGTGCTCCATCACAATCCACCTTGTCATCAGATGCATGATAAGTTGTTCAGGAGACAACCATCATGCCCAGTTCTTCAGGGTGGTTGCTAATTATCCTTACCTATCATGAGCAACCTGCCTCATTCCTGGTAACTAGTTATGGTCTAAATAGTCAAGGACCAGGTCTACTTATACTTCCCCTTGTAGATACCATGAAACAGGTCCCCCCTGCCAGTTAGGGGAGCCCCAAAAATTCCTGCTTGGCCTAAACTGACCTGCTAGTCCCATGATGTTTTGTGGGGGAGGGGGTAGCAGCTCACAGGAAAAGCCTGTATGGAAGAAGGGGAGGTCAGTTTTAAGAGCCTACAGACCTTAGCATACTAGCCAATCTGCCCCCATGCCTCATTTGAATTAGGGAAGGGACCAGGACAACACAGTCTATATTGGTACTGCTATGAATTAACTTATTATCAACTAGGAAAAAGACCCGTTGTGGAAATAAATACAATGGCCTCTAGAAAGAGGCTCTGGGCGGGTGCCCTGGCCTTGGACACTCAGTGTCAATTTGCTGTGGCGACCTCAGCAGGGTATAATGACACTGAGTCCACCATTTTCTCCAGAGGAACTGATCTCTGTTACCTAAAGAACAGTTATAATTTTGAGTGATCTCCAGCTCTCACCTGGAGATTGGCAACAATGGTTCCCCAGAAGGGAATAGTTGGTTTGGAGGGTGGAGTCTATGACTTTGTACCTGTCCGAGGTCCCACGCCTCCTGAAACCTCACCCTCTCCAGGCTCCATCCCTCACATCTCCAGGAATTTCCCACCTGGAGTTGGCAACCTTGTCTCCTTCCCAGCCAATCATCAACCTACCTTTATTTCCCCCTCACTCTTCAGGTTTCCACCCCCCACACACCTGCAGCCTCTCCCGTGCTCTGAAGCCCTGACTGCTACGTCACATTGGCTGCCATATGGGGGCCACCTCAGCAGCATATAAGGATACAGAGCCCACCCTTTTCTCCAGGGGAACTGATCTCTGCCATCTGGAAAGCAGTTGTAATTCTGAGTGATCTCCAGCCCTCACCTGGAGATCGGACACATTTTACCTCAGAACAGCAAACTGTTTAGAATGTTAGAGGCAAAAGCCAATCAAATCGCATATGCAAACAACCTCTGTGTTCCGAGGCAAATAACCTCTGTGTTCTGACTGGCTATGGGGGGGCGGGGGGGACAGCAAAATGTTTAGAATATTGGAGGCAGGACTCAGGCAAAGCAGCCAGTGGATAGAACTGATTTTGGAGTGTGTGGAATGTTCTAGAGAAGTGCCACCACCATTCGGCTTTTATTTAAAAGGGAGATAACAGGTACCCAATGACCTTTTAAAGACTAAATGAAAGATACTGAATTTTTGTAGGTAGTGTTTGCCTTGGGGAGAAGTACAAACTGCATGAAGAAGACAAAAACTGTACTCCCTGTTCATTGGTAATTTGCAGAATCTCTTACCATTTATAATAAATAAAACAGGTAATTAGAAACCTCTTCTGATTGGCTTCTTTTATGAATTGTGACACCAAACTATTTGAGTTGTCTCTCTAATCATTCTGATATTCACTCTGTTCTGCTGTTTTTTGACTGTCAGCAAATGGAACTCTTAACATTTTTGCCCTGTTTGGTAGCAAAGAGGAAATGTCTACTGCTAATTGTATAGTTCTTTATACTGAAAAACAAGATTAAATTCAATTCCAAATTCATATTTTTAATTCTGAACTGTTAAAATTGACAGAAATATAAATCTAGTTCTTAGACATCCCACTTACTCAGCTCTAGTATCAGGTAGCGGTTGCTACTGAAAAATAGTAAGTTACATATGTTTTGGACTTCATTGGTAGAAAGTACTTCCAGTTGCCATGGCAAAGGGCTCTCTGTGTGTGTATGTGTGTATGTTGGAGAACCGTGAGTACAACCAGAGCTGTGACTGCTGTTTCTGCTTCAGCAGGGATCGCTGTGCAAAAATAGTACTTCATATCAGGTATCCTGTTGTAGTGGCTGTGTCACCTTTATTTTGATGGCTTTAATGCTTTGGTAGGATTGAGGCCTATAATTACCAAAGCTGTGCTATTTCTTGTTATTTATTAATGCATTGGTTACAAATGGGAAAGAAAATGGAAACACCAAAATATCTGGTCTAATTTAAGCCATCGGTTTTGGGTTTTTTCCAGCACCACTTCAGATTTAGAAGCAAATTCTTCATTTTGTGAACCTGAATTAATAAGATCAGATAAGCTCTTTTTTTTAAGGAGATGCCATTCTTAGCATTCCATGTGTATAGAACTAGATGTATTCAATCATACTGTCCTGATGTATGGGATATAACTGCTTATTCTAATCTGTTTCAGATAAACTTTATATGGGACCAGGACAACTGTACCATGATTTGCAGAATCTCTTACATGATTTGAATGTAGTTGGCCAAATTAGTCAACTGATAGGCAGCCTAAAAGGACACTACCAGGTACTAACTAATGTAATTGAGTTGTTTCTCCTATCTCTTTCTAGATTTAAAGCTTCCAGATAGCTTAGCTATTTAATGTGAGAGAAAGCACACACAACCTGTTGATATTTTAATTAGTTTCTTGTTAAAGGTTTAACTTTAGAGCCATAAGCAGATTATGGATGTCTTGCTGATCTCTTTTTTCTAACCTTGCTGTTTTTGTGTATGTGTTAGGTATCAATAACATCATTTTCTCAGTGGCTGCTAATTTCATATGGAAATGCAAAACTGCAAATTTTATCTTTTTTAAAAAGAACATGCTACCATGGAATTACATCAAATATTGGTGGTGATACTGCTTAATCACAGCATGCTGCGCTATTTAGCCTCCATTTTAGCAACATTTGAGATTTGTGTTTTGTGGGCCCAAGTTACACATGATGACAGCAGAGCAGGTCAGTGGCAGAGCCTACGCTTGGCATGCAGAAGGTCCCAGGTTCAATCCCCATTATCTCCATCTGAAAAGATCAGGGAGTAGGTGATGTGAAAGACACTTGACACTCAGGAGAGCCTCTGCCAGTCTGAGCAGACCATACTGACCTTGATGAACCAATAGTCTGATTCAGTATAAGGCACCTTCTTATGTCCGTGCATCTAAAGGGTAGGGGGGTATTACACTTTAAAGAGCCAAAATGGTGCATGATCCTTCTCCAGCCTTTTATTGTGTTCTCTACAGGATCTTCCCCATCAGGTACTTTTTCTTCCAGTAGGCTGATTTGTATGCTGGAGGAGATAAGATTTCAGAATTTGGAATAAGAACAGTGAGGCGTATTTAATAAGAACATTGCCACTGTATAGTTTGGACTTCAGTATGTTAGTACACTTTTCAGTAAAATACTCATTGAAATGATTTAATGAAACTATTGCTAAATTATTGAACTACATTTGGATTGATATGTGCATCAAAAACTTTATTCCAGGATTTGGAAGAGGCAGGAATATATGATTTCGATTATGATTCCCCCCACCTGAAATATGCAACATGATTCTTTAACCAAAAACTGTTTTTGTTCTAGCTTTGGCCATAAAATGGTTTAAATTTGATAAATACGTTGTCAGGTAGAGGCACACATTTGAGGTGACTTCCAATCAATGCTCCTTCTAAGCTGTGGAGTCCAGTGAGCAAAAATTCTACTTTCTGAGCTACTGGCATTAAAATTGTGAGTGAGTGATTTGCCTACTGTATAAATTAGTTTGTTCTGGAGCCATCCTTCCTGAGCTAAGAGAAAAATGTGTAAGCCAGAGGTTAAAAAACTGAGCCAACTCACACTAACTCAGCTTAGAGGGAACACTGCTTCCAATGCTTGTGTACAACTAAGATTCTCCGAGTTCAATCCTTTGAATTTTAGGGCTAAGCTAAATGATGCAAAGAATGTTACCTTTGTGCCGCAGCATATTTCCCCCGCCCCTGCATTGCACTTTCCTGGAATTGTTGATTTCTCTGCAGAGGAAACAGAGGTACCCACAGACACACATCTTGGGGTGGGTGTGATTCAGATCACAGAACTGTAGCTAAGCACCCTCCCATACCATAGCAACTTGGGCCCTAAACAACTGCAAATTAAGTTTTACAAAATAGCAGTGAAACAATTCATAGATCTTCCAGTATTATCATGTCTAGCTTGACCCTTAAATGGTTCTGTTTCACCATAAGTGAATAGTGATTCAAAAAGCCCTGTCTTTCACCTTGTGGAAACACTACTATAAACAAAAGTTAAAAATGAACCTCTGGACTTCACAGCATATTTTGTTTTCTTTCTTTCCTTTCTGTTAGAATTTAAATCAGTCAGTGGCACATGATTGGACTTCGGGTTTACAAAAACTTATATTGAAGAAAGAAGATGAAATCCGAGCTGCAGACCGCTGTAGGATTCAACTTCAGCTTCCAGGGAAGCAGGACAAGTTAGTAGGGATCCAACACTACACTTTTAGGCAATGTTCTTCTGCAGTAAAACCTATCTACAACCCAGACAATGGGGTAGCCCAGCCCCCACCAAAAGATGGGGATGGAGAAGAAAATGCTCCTCCTTTCTTTCTGAAGGTAGCTCCAAAGCTGTGGAGGAAAAAGGAAATGGAGCTAGGATATGAGTGTGGAGGAAGAAACCCAGCTTTTGGGGTTCTTTTTTGGGGGGAGATATTTCGCAGCTGCTTCTCAGAACCTTGTGGGGGGACATAGGGCCTACTTTTGAAATATAGGTCTGATCCTGCCCTTCTGTCTTTCCGTCCTTTCCTGCCTATTCAACTGGATTTGCCTGACCCTTTAATGAATTCTTCTTCCCAGTTATGAGCATGCTCATCTTGTTTCCAGTTATTTTTTACTACACTTAAAACCTTTTTTTTTTCTTTCAAAGAACTCTGTTGAATAGTTTAATTTCCTTTCTGTCAGATCTGGACGGCCTACTTTCTTTACAGCAGTGTTCAATACTTTCACCCCTGCAATCAAACAGTCTTGGATCAACAATTTACAAATGGCTAAGCTTGCCTTAGGTAAGTGTTTGTGTCAGTGAACTTGAAACAGTTATAGTTAATAATAGAAGATTGTAACATTTATTTTTTGAACTAGCGATATAGAATCAATGTAAAATTGGATGTTGCAGAAATTTTCTAACAGGTTTTATAGTGACCATTAATGTTCTAGCATCAGTGAATTATAGAAAATAACCTTTTTAACTTATTTTACATAGGAAGTAGACAAGGGTTAAAATCCAAAGAACTGCATGCTCAGAAGGACTTTGGGCTTGTGTGTATCCAAGCAGCAGTAGTCTATGGCATATTAAGCACCTCTTCTGAAACAGAAGCATTTTGAAATGAGTTACTGAGTGCTGTTTAAAGCAAAATGTTTTTTTAAAAAATCCCAGATGTTATTCCAGAACCTTTGGGTGTACCAACTGTTTGTATTCCAAACATTAGAAATTTATTCTTGATTTCTTCTGTGTCCTGTCTTTTAAAACTACCATCAGCAAATGATCAAACTGTAAACTTCTAGACATTTAGACTTTCAATTATTGCCTAAAATATGTACTTCAGAAGTTAAAACCATGTTATATTTCTGCTACCTAATTGCTGCAGGAATGTGGCAATTGCTGCAAAGAAACATTCTGAACCACTCTGATTTCTGTAATTTCCCGCTATGAGGAAGGGGTTCAGCTGCAGCTGGGATCATACCTGCTTAATCTTTCCCAGTACTTCAAAGTTAACCATGTATTTAATCAGTCAGTGTGGTCGACCATTTCGTCTAGTGGGCAGACTCTTGGCCTGTACATTTCAGAAAACATCTCTTGATGCTTTATAAAGCCTGGCTGTTGTTAGAGACCTTTACTAGTGCTGCCTAAATTGACATCTCTCCTTATATATAATTGAGTAAGGGAGTGGAGAAAAAATGCGCACTGGCAGCCATTGGCCTGCCAGCTGCCGCTCAAGGCTGCTGGCATGCCATTGGCTGGGAGGCAGGAGGCGAACGCTGCCGCCAGGAGCTGGGGAAGGGAGGCTGCGAGGCCAGGCGACGGGGCTGGGCAGGGGCCAGCCCCAGGAGGACGCGGCAGCCCCAGAGAAGCGGAATATCAGCGAGGGGGGTGGCAGAGGCTGGGGACAGCGGGTGAGGAGCTCATTCCCGAACAGCCGGCCGGTCCATCTCGCTCCACCACCTTCTTTGGCAGGGGGGCCCTGCGCTGGGGCCGCCTGGCCTCAGGGACGGGGGAGGCGGCCGCCGCGCCTGGGGACTGATAGGCAGCGGGGGGGCCCACACACCGACCACCGCCTCCACGCACCACGCGACGACGATCCAGTGTGGCCCGAGGCACTTGCCCCGGCCGCACACGTCTTCACTCTCCTACCTTTCTGCCAGTGAGAGGCAAAGTCCTTTAGTGGGGTGAGATTGTGGCCCCGCCAAGCGCGAGGCCTCTTTCTGGCGGCCGCACCAGCCTTCCCTCACCCGGGGCGGCCTTCACTAGCCAGGCTGCAGACCCTGCGTTGGAGGGGACTCTGCCGGCCCCAGCCATGCTCGAGGCAGGGGAGGCCACCGCACGCCATGCCCCGGCCCTGCTTCGCTGGGCAGGCCTGGGCCCAGCCCCCTTGCCCCAAGCTGACAGCTCTCCCTAGGGCTCATTGCCTCCTCCTGCAATGGGCATTTCCCCTAGTAGTATATAAGACTGTAGATTAACCATATATCAATTCCCCTTCTTCCTCTCTTTTCCTCCCATTTTCAATTCAATAGGGACCTATAAAGGAATTTTATTAGATTTTTAATCTAATAAATATTATCCTGGGTAGAATATTACCACCTTTGTACCAGCAGAAGTGGATTGTTTCTTGCCTCCAAAAGGGCCATGTTAGGAATCAGGGATCCATATGGCCAAAGAGGCCTGTAGGAAGGCAGTTTGCAGTGAGGAGGAAAAGTGGGCGAGGTCACTCCTCCATCTCACATATGTTGGAGGCAGATGGAATCAGATCCACTGGCTTTCACCTTCATGTCCAAGAGAAATTAATATTTGTAAAGGCTCATGTATTGGAGCTGTTCTGTCAAATAAAAACAAATTGCTTCTTTTCCCCTAGTTGAAGAGAATATATTGGGTTGGTTCTGCATCGATGATGATGGGAATCAGATAAAAAAAGAGAAGCATCCTCTTCTTGTTAAACACATGCCTGTAATGATGGCCAAACAACAGGAGTTTAAGGTGAATAGTTTGTTTTGTTTTGGTTTTGTAATGTTTTGGTTTTGTAATGTATTGGTACATGCATTGGTAAGATTCACTTTTGTCGTCAGGTACAGACCAATGTGGTTGATCATTGAGAATATAGTAAAAATTGAATTGGGTGAAAGAATTCCATTTCTCAGTTATTGGGCTGATCCGTACCTTCAGCGAGTCAAGTTGACATAATTGCTTAGGTCTTATTAACTTCCCTGTACAATTTCTTACTGATTGTCACCATATAAGGGAAAGCCATGACTATTTGATAATCACTTGAGTTGCAGATATGAAGAACAGAAGTGTAGACCAGGTCTAAATCTCTGTGTTGTTCTGCTGATTTTATATGGCTCAAATAATCTTAGATGCTACATGTCAAATATATTTTTGTTTCCTGTACTGTTCCACAAGAATCTCCTCAGGTACTTAGGCCCCAAAGACTCCTGTCTTAGGTATAAGAAATATAACACATATTATGATAATGAAAAGCAAAGGGCAAACGAGCAGGGAAATATTCATACTATCAACTTGTTTTTCCTTCCATGGTCTCTCATTGTAAGTTGTCATTACCAAAATGTTTGGGTTGGTACGGAAGATGTTTCTGAAAGTAAAGAATGTGCCACACCTTAAAAAAATTAAAGTCAAATATCTTTAATGGCATAGCAGTAAGATACATAGATATACAATAACACAGTATGGATATTTAGCAACATAATAAACAATATGAATCATTCCTTTATGAGAATAGATCTAACTTTGACTGCTTCAGCAAGAAACTTGGCCACTAAAGCTGTAATATTAGGATTAGTATCCTTTAGTAAATACTGAATAGCTTTTTCCCTACTAGAACTAAAATTAGGAGGAAATAAAGATGACTCTGGTTTCTCTTCAGATCGCATAAATCTTTCACCTTAAAAAAATTAGTGGTGCTGTGCTTCAGATCTGGCCCAGCTCCAAGTCTTTGGTGGTGTGACGGACTACATTTAAAACACTGTTTTCCTAATGCAGCAACATCAGAGAAGGAAGGTGAATAGTTAACTCTACTCTAGAATGTTGAGCTTGAGTGACAGGCTGCTCCTTTTCTTTGATTGGCCAGTGCCAGCTGTGGGAAATAGAAGATCAGCTGTTTTGTGTTCAGCAGCAGTTACTGTTCAGTAAAGGAAAAGTTCAGCTAAATGAGTGGATATCTGAAGAGTGACTAAAAAGACTGTCAAACAGGTTCCTGGTCCTAGCTATGTTAAACATAACCTGAGAAAGAATTCCATCTAAGAATTCAGAGTCCAGTGTCAGCTAAAGCTGATGTACGTTTTCACACAGACAGTAAGAACCGGGGTTTGAGATTTTGACAAAGAGTGACTGGGTAGCAGGCTGAAACTCCCAATCAGGCCAAAAGAAATATGAACATATTTTCAGGGAAGAAATATAAGTCCTGTCCAGTTATTCAGGGAATTGGCACTTAGGCAGTCCCTGGTCTGTTGTGAAAGGAAACAGTTATAGCCTACTCAGGGAAAAGAAGATACTCTGAAGATACCTGAGTCAGATTGAGGTGACGAGAGAGGAGGTCCTAAAACTGATAGACAACTTAAAAACTGAAAAATCACCAGGCCCAGATGGCATACATCCGAGAGTTCTGAAAGAACTCAAATGTGAACTTGTAGATCTCCTGACAAAGATATGTAATCTTTCCTTAAAATCTGCCTCCATTCCTGAGGATTGGAAGGTAGCTAATGTCACTCCCATCTTTAAAAAGGGTTCCAGAGGAGATCCGGGAAATTACAGGCCAGTCAGTCTGACGTCGATACCGGGTAAATTGGTGGAAACCATTATTAAGGAAAGAATTAGTAGGCACATAGATGAACAAAACCTATTGAGGCAGACTCAGCACGGTTTCTGTAAGGGAAGATCTTGTCTCACTAACCTGTTAGTGTTCTTTGAGGGGGTGAACAAACATGTGGACAAGGGGGATCCAATAGATATTATTTACCTTGACTTCCAGAAAGCTTTTGATAAAGTTCCTCATCAAAGGCTCAAGTAAGTAAGCTCAAAAATCATGGGATAGAAGGACAAGTCCTTTTATGGATCAAAAACTGGCTAGTTCATAGAAAACAGAGAGTGAGTGTAGGTGGGCAATTTTCTCAGTGGAGGGTGGTAAGCAGTGGGGTACCGCAGGGATCAGTACTTGGTCCACTGCTTTTTAACTTGTTCATTAATGATTTGGAGATGGGAGTAAGCAGTGAAGTGGCTAAATTTGCGGATGATACAAAGTTGTTCAGGGTGGTGAAAACCAGTGAGGATTGTGAGGCACTCCAAGGGGATCTGTCAAGGATGGGCGAGTGGGCGTCAACATGGCAAATGGGGTTCAATGTGGCCAAGTGCAAGGTGATGCACATTGGAGCCAAAAATCCTAAATATAAATACACATTGATGGGGTCTGAACTGGCAGAGACTGAGCAAGAGAGAGATCTTGGAGTTGTAGTGGATAACTCACTGAAAATGTCGAGACAGTGTGTGACTGCAATAAAGAAGGCCAATGCTATGCTGGGGATTATTAGGAAGGGTATTGAAAACAGATCAGCCAATATAATAATGCCCCTATATAAATCAATGGTGAGACCTCATTTGGAATACTGTGTGCAGTTCTGGGCACCACACCTTAAAAAGGATATTATAGCTTTGGAAAAAGTGCAGAAAAGGGCAACTCGAATGATAAAAGGGTTGGAACACTTTCCCTATGAGGAAAGGTTAAAGCGCTTAGGGCTCTTTAGCTTGGAGAAAAGACGACTGAGGGGTGACATGATCGAGGTTTATAAGATTATGCATGGGAAAGAGCAGGTAAAGAAAGAGGTACTTTTCTCCCTTTCTCACAATACAAGAACTCGTGGGCACTCCATGAAACTGCAGAGCGGTCGGGTTAGAACGGATAAAAGGAAGTACTTCTTCACCCAAAGAGTGATTAACACATGGAATTCACTGCCACAGGAAGTGGTGGGTGCTACAAGCATGGACGGCTTCAAAAGGGAATTAGATAAGCATATGGAGCAGAGGTCCATCAGTGGCTATTAGCCACAAGGTATAGCTAGGGGCTCTGGGGCAAGTGATGCTCTGTCTTCTTGGTGCTTGGGGGGGGGTCAACAGTGGGAGGGCTTCTAATGTCCTGGCCCCACTGCTGGACCTCCTGATGGCACTGGTATTTCTGGCCACTGTGTGACACAGAGTGTTGGACTGGATGGGCCTTTGGCCTGATCCAACATTGGCGTCTCTTATGTTCTTATGTGATTTCAGAAAAGAGGAAAGAATTTGATACACTAAAAGAGTGACCTTTCCAGAAAACCTGAACAGTTAATAGGAAACTACAAGTGGGCCCCCGCAAAAAATGTATGGGTGTGGCTATTCCATCCCCCCCCACTTCTGCTTCTTCCCCTCTCCCCCTACTTCTGTCACACTCCTTCTCCTTCCTGCCACCCTTTTTCTTTCTCTCTCTCTCTCTCACATCCATGCCAGTTACTTCCTTTTTGACCCCACCCCATCACTCTTTCTGCACCTGCAGTTTGGTGTAGTGGTTAAGTGTGCGGACTCTTATCTGGGAGAACCGGGTTTGATTCCCCACTCCTTCACTTGCACCTGCTGATGTGGCCTTGGGTCAGTCACAAGCTCTGGCACAGCTGTCCTTGAAAAAGAGCAGTTTGTGTCAGAGTTCTCTCAGCCCCACCCACCTCACAGGGTGTCTGTTGTGGGGAGGGGAAGGGAAAGCAGTTTGTAAGCCGCTCTGAGACTCCCTTGGGTAGTGAAGGGCGGCGTATAAATCCAATCTCTTCTCTTCTTCTTCTTCTTCTCTCCAGGAATCACAACAGATTGACCAAATACAGAGATTAGTTCCTCTTAAGGTTGCCAGCTCTATCTTGGGAAATTCCTGGAGATTTGGAGGTGGAACCTTGGGAGGATGAGGTTTGAGCTTGGAAGTGACCTCAGCAGGGTATAATACCATAAACTCCACCCTTCAAAGCATCCATTATCTCTGGGGGAACTGATCTCTGACATCTGGAGATCAGTTGCAATTCCAGGAGATCTCCAGCCCTCACCCTGGAGGTTGGCCTACGGGGAGGGCAGGATAAAAATCTAAATAATAAATAAATAAATAAATAAATAATTTTGGAGGGTGGAGTCTATGGCATTAGATCTGTCTGAAGTCCCTCCCCACCTCAATCCCCACCATCCCCAGGCTCCAGTCCTCAAATATCCAGGAATTTCCCAGCATGGAGTTGGCATCCCTACCTCCTTCCTACCCAACAGCCAACCTACCTTTATTTGCCCCTCTGTCTTCAGTTTTCCGTCTCCTTTCCCCCTACAGCTTCTACTGAGGAAAACTGAGGTAGGTTAGGCTGAAAGTACGTGACTGGTCCAAAATCACCCAGTGAGCCTCCACAACAAGATGGGGAGCTAAACCTGGGTCTCACAAACCTTGCTCTGAAGCTCTGACCATTATACTACACTGGCTTTCTTAAGCTGGCTGCTGTTGAACAGTAGCAAGTAGCCAGGCCTAGTTAAATCATGCAAGTCAGGTGGTCTCAAGTCACGCAGAGGGTGCTGCTAGGCCTAGGTTTGCCAACCTCCAGGTGGGACCTGGAGATCCCCAGAATTACAACTGAACTCCAGACAACAGAGCTCTGTTCCCCTGGAGAAGATGGGTGAACTCCATGGCATTCTGTCCACCTGAGGCCTTTCCCCTCCCCAAACTCTGCACTCCTCAGTCTTCACCACAGAATCTCCAGGAATTTCCCAACCTGGAGCAGGCAATCCTAATCCCAGGCCTGGCTCCAACCCCCCTGCTATTTAGCCATTCATACTGCAGTAGAAATCCTTCCCAATCCCAGGTCCAGTTCTGTTTTTTGCGCTCTCTCTCTCTGTCTGTCTGTCTGCCTGTCTCTCTCTCTCTCTGTCTCTCTCTCTGTCTCTGCCTCTCTGTCTCTCTCTCTGTCTCTCTCTCTGTCTCTGTCAATGCAGTGGGGCCTGGAGTAGATCCCTGTCGCGGCCATTTAAAAAGGTATGGGGGTGTTCAACCCTTCCCAAGGTTTTGTTTGTAAACTTTTTGGATTTTTTGACCCATGGAGTTTCCTGTAAAAAAAACCTGTTGCAGGAGAGTGTGCCCTCTATCTGTGGGAATAAGTATCTGCATGCAGAGGGGACTGTTGAGAATTAGATGTACAAGTAGAGACCTGCAAGAAACTTGCAGGATGGTTATCCCATTCCTCACATTTTGCTTCCTCCTCACTCCCCCTACCTCTCTCTTTCTCTTTCTGCTCCCTCTTTTCTTATTCTCTATCCTCCATGCATGTTACTTCCTCTCTTTCTACCCCCTCATCATTCTTTGTCCTTCTGCCTTCTCACCTCATCGCTCTCCCTTTTTCTTCCCCCCACCCTAACACTCTCTCTTTCTGCCCCCATCACTCTCTCAGCCTCCTGCCTGCTTCCTCTCCCCCCACAGCAGCAGTGGCAGCTCTCCACGAATAACAACAGATATCCTAGCTACAGAGATCAATTCACCTTAGGGCTGCCAGCTCTGGAGATTTGGAGGTGGAGCCTTGGGACAGTGAGGCTTGGGGAGGCAAGCAGCCTCAGCAGGGTATAATAGACTCAACCCGCCAAAGTAGCCATTTTATCCAGGGGGACTAATCTCTGTCACCTGGACAACAGTTGTAATTCTGGGTGATCTCCAGCCCTCACCTGGAGGCTGGCAGTGGTAGTTCTCATGGTGGAAATGGCTGGTTTGGAGGGTGGAGACTATGGCAGTCTTTCTCCACAGTGGGGACTAAAGCAGCTTACATTATTCTCTCCTCCTTTTTATCTGCATAACAACCCTGTGAGGTTACTTAGGCTGAAAGTATGTGACTGGTCCAAAATCACCCAGTCAGCTTCCACCACAAGATGGGGATCTAAACCTGGGTCTTGCACAGTGTAGACCCTACTTTGAAGCTCTAACTGTTGCACCATACTGGCTTTCATAGGGTGGCTGCTGTTGGAGAGTAGGAAGCAGCCACGCTTAGTTCAATCTTGCAAATCAGATGGTATCAAGTCACCCAGAGGTTGCTGCCTAGGGATGCCAGCCTCTAGGTGGGACCTGGGGACCCTGGAATTACTGCTCATCTCCAGACTACAGAAATAACTTGCCATGGAGAAAATGGATGCTTTGGAGTGTGTACTCCATGGCATTGTACTTCACTGAGGTCCCTGTCCTTCCCAGGGTCCACCCCCAAATCTCCAGGAGTTTCCCAGCCTGGATCTGGCAACCATACCCCCCCATCCCCTGCCAGTGGCCAGGTGGGACCTGGAAATCCTAGACTGCAGGGTTGCCAACCTAAGGTTGCCAACCTCTAAGTGGGACCTGGAGACATCCCCCCCCCCAATTACAACTGCAGAGGTCTGTTTCCCTGGAGAAAATGGCTGCTTTGGAGGGTGGACTCTGTGGCATTATATCCAGCTGAGGCCTCTCCCTTCCCCAAACCCAGCCCTCCTTAGACTCCACCACAAAATCTCTAGGAATTTCCCAGCCTGGCAGGCCTGGCCCTAAGGATCCCTCCCTGGAAGGCCAAAATAAGTCTGGAAAGGGCCCTTCGCCTGCCTATTACTGACAGAACCAGTTACAAGCCTCCCACTCCTCCCGCTTTCTAATCTCTCACTGTTGATGCCTGGAGTAGATCCCTATAGAAGCCATTTCAAAAGGTATTGTGGGGAAATTCAACCCTCCCTGAGTTTGTTTTTTTTTGTTTTTTTGTTTTTGAATTTTTCTGCAGACCTACAGAGTCCTTGAGTCTGTAGAAAGACTTGTTGAGGGAGAGTGAGCCCTCTGTTGGTGGAAATAAGTATCCACATGGAAAGGGGACTTTGGCTGTTAGTATATAGATATGCAGAAACATTGTAAGTGAAACTAAAATAATTAGTTAACCATCTCTCACTGATAAGAACCAATAATTTGTAAAAATAAGCTGCTTCAACACCATCTTGTCCGTCACCTGGAAAATATACTGTTTTACCAACAATGTTTACCTCAACCTTTCCAGTTCCTGACTACCCATACCCTTCCTGCCTATTAAATAAAATTGTTATTATTGTTCACTGTACACAGTCTCCAGTACCATTTCAAGGGATCTAAAATTACAAGTTTTCTCCTGACAAGTTCCTGGGCTGGGCAAAAGCCAAATCACATTCTGCCCCAGGGTGGGACTTTCAGATTTATAAAACCTCAAAGATTATCATGATACTGGGGGCTAGCTCAGAACCTGAAGGGAACTAAGAATTTTGGTGGGGGAAATTGATGTATTCTTTTGGAAAGCTGAGAATAAAAGTGAACTGGTACTAGTGTAAGATTCTTGTCCTGAAGGATCCTTTTGGACTGGACCATAATTGTTTTGGAGTACACATCTTGTGAGGTTTCCGCCTTTCGCAGGGTGGGTCTGTGGCTGATGGTTTTCCCCTCCTTTCGCTGTTGTTTTTGCTATTAGTGGGATGTTAGTATCATACCATATGTGGACAACACAGCCTCTTTGTAGTTTAACCAGGAGAGGGCTATTTCTTGGATGGGGAGAAGTAAAGAATGAATCGGGGAAGTACAGTATAAGGTTTCTGTAAATATTAAGAAGATTATAGCTACCTCCTATTTCCTCTCCCTAGTATCTTCTTTTAGACAACTGTTTTAGAGCTGTTATGTACTGACTTCACAGCCTGCGACGGCTAATGCTTCCAAAGAAAAGCAGCTTCACAGAAGTCCAATGTAGAAAGGAGAAGTAGGGGGTGGGAAAAGCATATTTTGGCACTATAAGAAGAAAAGCAGCTTGGCAATGAAAACAGTTGTGCCCCTTCCTTTAATCTGATTCTCTGATGCCAGATAACACCTCCCAAAGCTGCTTTTGCTTTAAAAAATTTGGCTGTTAAAGGTTTATTGCATGCAGTAGAAACCCACAAAGAAGACTTGAATACTCATTGTCAACCCCCCCCCCTCCAGCCTTCTTGAAGCTGCTGAGGAGAAGAACTATAGAGAGGACAGTTCAGGTTTCTAGTCATCAGAATGTCCTGAGTGATACCATTCTACTTCTGCTCTTAACTGGAGGAATGTAGAAAGAACAAAAGCAGTAACTGCGGCAGCCAGGGCAGCTGAGGGGCTTGGGAAAGGGCCTAGAATTGAATGTAGAACAAGGGTGAAGGTATCATCCATTCATGTCTCTCCCCCATTTCCAGCTTACTAACCAGTGGAACTCTGGTGGTGTCTGTCCGAGTGTAGGCAAGGATTCTCTCATCTCCAAAAATAAATCTCTGCTGCTCTATCAATCAGAATTCCGCAGGTTGTTTCAACAGCAACGACAGTTGTCTATATATCACATATTTATGAATGTGAACTGTAAGCTGCTTTGGTAGCCAACATGGCTGAAAAGTACAGTATAAATATAATAAGTAAAATAAACAGTGTTGATATATATATGGTGTTACTATTTAAGCCTTGATGTGTATTATGAGCTCTGTGCTGCACTGTGGACTATCAAGCACAAAAGCAACATGAACCTTGCCGAAGGAAAGACTTCTGTACTTCAGATAGTAAGGGCAAAAGTTACGGGAAAGGAGTACACAGAAACTATACAACAGGCAGGACAGAAGAGAAAGCAGTGATTCTGTGATAGCCTAGCAAAAGCGCTTCATTATATCTAGCTAGAATGAAGAGGAATTCTAGAACATCCCAGGGGCACTCGGTGCAATTTAGGTTCAATTACAGGTTCTTGTGTTACAGCTCTGACTCCAGGCCTTCTGGGGAAAAATAGGGTTTTATTCATTTCTAAAGTTGTGGCTAACTTTTTTTTTTTAACATTTCTTCCTTTTAACTTCCTGTAAGATCTGAGTGCATGCATCAAAATCTTGAGAAAATCAGACATAAGGTGCCTTGTCTACAATGTTGGTGGTGCTATTTGCACTAACAATTTTTTTTTTTTGGTAAAGGTTGAATGTGCTGCTTATAATCCTGAACCTTACTCATGTGAAGAAAGTGATCCAGATCCTCTTTCCATAGAACATGGCTTTCTATGGGTATGTTTTCTTTTTTCTAAGGTATTCAATGGCCATATGATATAGGCTGAGAGGCATCTAACATTATTATCTATATATCTATTAGTGAAGGTGCCCCCTGGCGTGCGGATACCTAAATCTGCGCATCGGGGGCATCTGGGGGGAAGGGAGATTTTCGTGCACACTTGGGGCAGTCCCCAGGTGTGCACAAAAATCTGAAACTCTGGAAAAAATATCGGGGGGATACTTAAATCCCCCCAAAAGTAACTGAGTGTCTCCTGCGCATGCACAGGGAATGCTCTGCAACCTGCCTCGCCACCGCCACTTCGGAGCGGGGGGGGGAAAATCCCCCCAAAAGTAACAGAGCGTTCCCTGCGCATGCGCAGGGAATGCTCTGCAGACTGCCTCGCCGCCGCTTCGGAGCTAGGGGGGGGAAGCCCTGGCTCTGAAGCGAGGCCCGGCAGCCACCGGGCCTCGCTTCGGAGCCAAGGGGGGGGGAGATCGAGACGAGGGGTGGAGGAGATGGGGGGAACCGGCGGAATGGGGGGAAACTTACCTCCTCCTGCTGCTTCCTCCTCTGCCTGATAAGTGTGGAGCTCCCTCTCCCCCCCTCCGCGAGTATCGCGGGTCCCGCCCCTTGTTTATTATAGTGATGATGCTAAGTTGTGCAACTGTGGCAGTTGATTACAACTAGATTTCCAGTATTTTTATTGATTTTACCACACACAAAAAATGAAACAAACAACAACAATACACAGACATCTACAAACATACAAGAAAGAAGACCGCCGTATCTTACAACTAGATTTTGTAAGGCTCTTACTAGATAAGGTTAAAGAAAATTGGAAATATTGAGTGGGGGTTTTGGTTGCTCCAAAGTCCTCCAGCATGGGTCACATAACCTTCAGCTGAGGTACATCTTCTGTCCTTTCATCACAGCCACCAGTGGTTGTGGGTGCCCACTTAGTTTTCTTGAAATCCATCCTCTGATGCATGTTCGAATGGTTTCGGCATTTGGCTGGGTGGGGAGAGTAGGAAAAATCAGCAGAGCAAATTCTGAGAATGCCTAGGCTTGTGTGTTATAACTGCAGAAACCTTGCAAAGCTTTCTTTAATTAGCTTTGCCATACGTATGTAATTGTTTACTGACATCTTGCAACAAAAGGACATTATCTTTTCTCCCTGATTCAGATTGGCAGTTGTACTAATCAAATGGGCCAAATTGCCATTGTGTCATTTCAAAACTCCAACCCAAAAGTTATTGAATGCTTCAATGTAGAATCGCGAATTCTTTGCATGGTCTACATTCCAGAAGTGGAGAAATGTAAAAGCTCGGAAGTGCCTTCTGATCTGGAAGATGTGTCTACAAAGCCTTCCAATGTGCCAACTGTTTGCCTGGGCACAGAAGAAGGAAGGTAGTGTGTTCGTGTTCGTTCTCTCTCTCTCTCTCTCTCATTTCTGTGAACAGAATAGTATTTATTAGCTGTCGTTATCCTGCAGTGTAAGAATAGATACTTATCCAAGATGGGAACTGATGCATCTTGAAAATGGAGAGCTTGCTTACTAGTAAATGATAGATCTTTTTATTTTAAAAGACTTAGGGTTTTTTAGGTCTCTGTATGTATTTCTACATAGGATTGTCCCCTGAACTGAATTAAATTGGGAACCTTGCTCATTCAGCAACTGGGGGGGGGGGCATTGGTGCATACAAAGAGCAGAGTCAGAAAGCTCCTTTTTGTGTACATATTGTTCAGAGATGAGAATTATTCAGATAACGTTAAATTAAGGCTGTGTTCCCACAGAATAAATTGTCCATAAGTAAGCTAATTTTGAGATCCTCATCACTGACACTATGTACCGATCATACTCCATCCCTTTCAGGCTACTCCACACACAATTGCACAACTGCTTTGGAGGCAGGAAACCTCTTAACCGATACAAAATGCAGATTTAGATTTTGAAGGATCCTGAGTAACAAGCAAGCTGTGGTTTTTCAAGCTGAAAGCTTTAATTTACCTGCAGAGATAAACTACTATTCATGCCAGATCCATGTTTATTAAACCCTCTCATTATAACATCTGGCTGTCATGACGGGAAATGTAAATGCATGTTTCTACAAGTAACCTACACGTATATCCTTTTCTTATTTGTGCAGGGTTTGATGCCAAGCCAGTGACAATGTGCATACTAATCCAAACACTTGCACTGGTGCAACTCTTAGTCATGCCACTGAAGCCAGAATCAATGCTGAATTATTGCTGGTTCTTGGGCACTGTTGCTGTACCTGATGAACCATTCTGTTCCAAACACCAAGAGGCAAACCAGATTAATACTAGAAATTCTGTGTCTGGAGTGACACAGAGTTACTTAAAATTCAGATATCAGGGGTGTATGGGGGGTATTCAGAATGGAAATATGGCACAAGGAAGGGGTGGGGATTTAAACTTTTACCCTGCTGTTTTTCTGATCTAAAATAGTCTCTAGGAACCACTAATTGCCTCATTTGCGGTAAACATAAGTTTCTCAAAATAGCACAAGTAGTAGCTCCCCAAGGCTGTTTTAGTTTGGAAAAATGGCACAGTGGAGAAGATCTAACACACACATACATCCTACACCATGATGCCAGTGCAAATCAGACCCTCGGGCACCTGATAATTGAATTCCAACAAACACCCGGAGCGTCAGTCTTGAGCATCTCATCTGGTTTCATTCTTAGAGCAGCAGGCTTACCTTTGTTCTAATTAACTGGATTGTGTGTGATAGTATTGCTAAAGAAATTCTGCAAGACTGGAATGACAAAAGGAGTTTTCCTTGTCCTTGTGAAGCATTTGCCAGATGCATAGAACAAAAGTCTGTGTTTGAGAATTTCTGATTCCAAATGTATGTGATAGTCCAAACAAGATGTTACAAGGGTCGTGGAGATGCTCTGTCTCTTTCTTCTCTGTAGTGCTTGATACACACTATGCATTATGTCATACTGGCATGCTGTCCATCTCCCTCCCCCTATCTCACATCATGAGCTGGGGGAGGGTGATGGTGTCATGCTGTGTTTTGTTTCATGCAAACATTATGAGGAAGAGAAAGGCAGCAGCCACTGCTGTGTCTCTCTCATAAGGTTTTGTCGTCTTTGAGTAACACTGGAAAGCATTTCAACCTCTGTTGCTGTAACAGAACTCATGAGGTTTCAGAATGACTTCACATGGTTTATTTTTTCCTCCTATTGCTTTTGAATAGCATCTCCGTTTACAAAAGTAGTCAAGGCTCAAAGAAAGTTCGACTTCAGCACTTCTTCACTCCTGAAAAGTCCACTGTCATGAGTCTAGCATACAAATCCTACTATTTGTTTGCTGGTCTTGTCAATGGCAACATTGTCATCTACACCAAATCAGAAGGTATAATCTTTATTTCTTCTCTTTTATCTATACACATATTGTTATGCATGATGGGTGTTGTGATAGAGGGTTGTAAGATGCCTTGAGTTAAACCCAGGAGACCCCAGTCACAGGGAAAACATTCTTTCTCAGGGATTGGAGCACAATTCAAAGCTAAAGGCAATGGATTGGATTTCATCTAAAATTTCCAAGCACATAAGGACCTCTGTGTGCAGCCACACAAACACCCTTCCCCAAATGCTGCTCCTGTGGGACAGGAACCACAAGAGGATCATGAAGGGTGAGCTGGGGGGTTCCATAGGATGGGGAAATCAGCAGAAATTGCCGCCCATTTATTGCACAGATCTTTTTGACAGGATCCAACCTCATATGCATAATACAAACAGTTCCAGCCACTGCATTCTCTTCTGACTGTTTGCATTCCTTTCACCTCAAGTTTGCCTTGTAACAGTGACTGTGGTTCCTTGACTTAGATCCAAAATGCCTCCATTTTGAAAAGGGATTCCTTCAATATCCACTAATTATCCATTCTCACATCAGCCTCTGCTGTGTTCTAGCTGTTGTGGAGGATCCCCTAAGGAACAGATTTTTGTGGAGTGCAGGGTGCTGAAATGAAAAAATCTGCTTGTGGTAGTTAAAATCCAAGCCAAAGGCTAATTAAAAAACCATGCCAAATCTGTTGGTATCTTCCCATATCTGCATAGGTTCTCTGTTCAGTTTTCATCTATAGTGATTGTAATGCTCAAGTTGCTTTTCCAGTCATCCCTGAAGGTGCAGTTTTATGAAGCACTGACCTATTTTGCCAGACATGTGAATCAAGGCTGAAGAGCGGAGAAGATAATTTGACCTAATAACAATTGGCACACATTATTTGTTGGTAGGGAATCAAAATCACTTTGTTCTTCAACATATACCATTTTTCATCCAACACACTAGCAGCTCATATTTTTGCATAAACATGAAAACTATAAAACAAAACATTAGTCTTCGTACAATTCTGTAGATTTTTCTAGAAGTCCTGGATTATGTTCTATTCTTGAAACCTGTGGGGGGAGTCCATTCAGATGGGTTTTATGATCATTGACTCCCAAGGTGCAAGGAAATCACCTGGCAAAGTTTCCCAAGCTTCAATTCTTTACATGGCTAACTAGTACTAGAGCAGGCTGTGGATCTGTCACCCATTTCTGAAAAGCTTATGCTCCTGTCCACTGCTTTCCAAAAGCAAAATGAACATTTAAATTCAATATAGCAGGAGAAATGTGCTACATCTAAAAGAATTATTTAGGCTGATCTGTGCTTCTGTGTCAACTTGGAGTTGGGGTTGATTGCTACTATTGAAAAAGGTCATTGCTGCTATTGAAGAACGTCATGTAGGGGCACAGAGATCCCTGGAGTGATCAGTGATGACAATGACAGTCTTAAATATAATCAAAAAAGTGAATTTTTATCTTAAATATCTTGAATGCTGTCTGCTTGTAACCACTGCTGTATATTTTAAATCTCACTACCCTGTCATAAAAAGTAAGTAGTGACTTTCATGATAATGCAGTGTACAAATTTTTATGCTCCATTGTACAACTCAATTAGCAAACTATTCTCAAGGCTGTTTTGGCAGCACTGTTGAAATACCAGTAGTGCTGCTGAGAGTATAAGGAATCGGTTAAACAACAAAAAAAAGACCAATGTTAGTCCAAGCCACATGAAAGGAAAGAGACCCTCCCCCAGATCAAATTGAGCATGTGACAAAGAATCATGAGGGAATGACAAAAAATAGCCTGTATAATATTTGAGATCCCTTTTCTTTTAGGCTGCAAGAATGGCTCAAAGAGAGCTGCCAAATGTTCAAAGGGAGGCAGGCCAATTAGTAGAGCAGTTCCGGTCTTGGTAAAGCTGAACACTGGGATTAAAGCTTTAGCCTGTGACAACAACATTTGTCTTTTATGATGCAAAGGCACCACACAATTTTCTGAAAAGTTCTGTATACTGTTTCCTTCCTGACATAGGTCTACCTCTTCAGTCACAGGCTGTGGGTAGACAATATCTTTTCAGAGATTGGCAGCCAGAATGATAAAGCCATTGTTGCCCATGGTTACATGCATTCATTGTTGTTGTTTTCATTTATCCCACTACTGTCTATGGCAAAGGTTTTTGAAGCACTATAAAACATGCAAAACTTGTTTGAACAGAGACCATATTGAGGCAGGAAAAAGTGGCTGAGTATACACCGAACAAGAGGGGTATTGCCATGCTGGCAATGAACAGATATTGGAGCATTCTCTGTGTGTGCGCGCGCAAATGATGTCTTTTTTTAATGCACTGCTGCATCTTTCTGTTTTGCTAAAGATGGCACCTGGAATTCAGAACCCCAGAAAGTAGTGAAGTTGGATGTTTTGCCAGTGAGAAGTCTTCTTGTCATGGAAGAAACCATTTGGGCTGCTTCTGGTGGACAAATTTTTATAATTAGTACTGAGACACATGCTGTAGAGGTAAACAGGTTTTTTTTAACATTTCATATTGTGTCATACTATACTTTTCCCCTTGTGAGATATATGCTTTTCATACTGGTAAACTCTGACACATATAGAAGGAAGAATTGTATATATTTTTTAATTGATCTGATTTGTTCTGGATGCATCATAGCTTGGGTAGGAATGAAGTAAATGAGTAATGCTTTAAAGGCCTGACACTATTTTCTCCTCAGAAGCGGAATTCTAAACACTGCTTGAATTGGAGACAAGCAAACTGGAAGCCATTTTGAATCGCCCATTGTCAGTCCTGCTTTTGGTATTACCTTTTCACATTGCTGATTGGTTATAGGCCTGAGTAGGTAGTAGGGTTGCCAGCCTCTGGGTGGGACCTGGAGATCTCCTGGGATTACAACTGATCTCCAGATGATAGGAATCACTTCCCCTGGAGAAAATGGCTGCTTTGGAGGATGGACTCTCTGCATTATACCCTGTTGAGGTCTCTTCCCAAATCCCACTTTTCCTGGCCCCACCTCCAAATCACAGCAGATAAAATAATATCAAAATAAATATTTATTATATGGTGTACACAATAGTAAAATTAAAAACATAGGCCCTGAATATCAGACTTCATTAAGAGTCAGAACAAGCTTTACATAAGCAGTAATAATTTCCCATACAAAGTTGATGAACATGTCAAATGACTAACAGAAGACCATATGCATTTTGGCCTCAAGGGCCTTCTGCAGTGGTCAGTAATACATACTTTAAAAAAAACACATCCAGCCCTGATCTGGATAGCCCAGGCAAGCCCAATCTCATCATATCTCAAAAGCTAAGCAGGGTCGACTCTGGCAAGTACTTGGATGGGAGACTTCCTTGAAATACCAGGAGTTGGGAGGTGGGGGCAGGCTTTATTCAGCCACCTCTCTGAATATTCTCCAGGCCCCAGTAGGGGTCAGTCACCAGAGGTCACCGTGACTTCCAGGTGCATATGCATGTGCACACGCACACGCATGCACATATTAAAACACACACACACACAAATCCAGAAAATATTATACATCAATCCTGACCAGGTGTTGTTATCTTGTATATTGTGTGGTATGATGTAATCTTATAAAGCAGGTCATGGATCCCTTAACATGGTATCTGCACTCACACATAAATCTTCATTGATGTTGTAATCTGGTATATATATGATTTCAGTTGCTGATAGATGATGCACATATCCAGAAATACTGGAGTTTCCCAAGCCAGAGTTGGAAACTCTGGTGGTGGGGGGGAGGGAGCGAGAATCTTTACTTCCACATGCTGAATAATCTGAATTACATTCTCTTGCTTCTTGTTAATGTAATTCCTCTTCCATTCAAATCTCAGTTCACATTGTCATGCTCTAAACTTTCCTTTTCAGGACAATTTTTTTCATACAATGATCATGTCACATCAGGCAATGATCAGCCATTTTTAAGAAAGGATTAAATTAAAGATCTGAAAGAACTACTTCTCAACTACTCTGAGTTGTACAGAAATCTCTATTACTCATATACTCCTTGTGTGTGTTAGATTTGCCTTTTATTATATGAAGGTGTTGTCTGCACATAATCTTATTCTTTCTTTAAGTCACAGAGAAGCTGATAAACCAGACAATGCATATTTTGGCTTTCAGGGAATATTGTTATTGGAAAGTTGTTAGACCAGGTATCAAAAATGAATGGTATTTGTGGTACTGAGCCATTCAAATTGAATAAGTTAATAACTTTTCTCCCTTTGTCACAATACAAGAACTCATGGGCACCCCATGAAATTAATGAGCAGTAGGCTTAGAACAGATAAAAGGAAGTATTTCTTCACCCAAAGAGTAATTAACAAATGGAATTCACTTCTGCAGGAAGTGGTAGCAGTTTACAAGTATTGACAGCTTCAAAAGGGGATTGGATAAACATCTGGAGCAGAGGTGCATCAGTGGGTATTAGCCACAAGGTATAGATGGAACAGTATGTCTGGGGCAGTAATGCCATGTATTCTTGATTATTGGGGGGCAACAGTGGGAGGGCCTCCTGATGGCACCTGGGTTTTGGCCACCGTGTGACACAGAGTGTTGGACTGGATGAGCCATTGGCCTGATCCATCATGGATTCTGTTATGTTCTTAATTTACAATGTAACTTTGTGCTTATATATTACACTTAGGTCCTAGCCATTTTTTTTTACTAAGGTCATGTCTTATGTATCCTTTTAATCTGATCAGTGGCTTTCATGTTTGAAGAGAGCAGATGACTTAAAACGCACATTCCATGAAAGTGAGGCCATTTTTCTAGAGAATATAAACTTTACACATAACCCCAACTCTCTTCATCTATATCTATTACGTAGTCAACTTATCCTGGTAGTGCAGGACCCATAGCAAACATTCTGTGGGGTAATGTGAGCTGGGCTGGGTAATACAAGTACTGAGGCTGATAAGTTATGTATTGATGGAACAGCAGGGTAAAGTGTGTCTACCAAGGGCACGAGGGGCATTAATAGACAGAGACAATATTTAGAGCCAGGTAAAATTAGGTCCATAATTTTCATTAATGAAGATCCAAACAGTTTGGCATCTAGAACGCCATCTTCTTGCTGGATAGGAAATGGGAAGAGATCCTTCCCAGACACCAGAGCAGTTTAGGCATCAACCACTCTTTGCCAGAATCTCTGTCTAATGCCAAACTAATGCAAAACAAACAAACAAAAAAACCCACCCCAACTCATTGTTAACAAACAGCTATAAGAAGGCTGGAACTGGAGGTGATCAGATTTCTCTGTGTCCATCCCTGCTTCTGGAGGTTCAATCTGGTAATCTGTTCCTCCAGTAAATTTAGAGGTGGAACTAGGAATGGATAGAGAACAGATCTCTCTGTCCCTCACTCTCCATCTACCTTTTAAAAGTCATCTTCCCCCACCAGTGTGAACATGGAAACAAAACCTGGAGGTGACATTATTGCATATTTAATCTATTCCATGATTTTGGGATCAGGGAAAATTCATGTCGATCACTTTCCTAAGCTTCCCCAGCATTTTGTTTTCTCCTGCCCAAGAAGGGGCATTCTTGGCAAAGTGACATCAGACAGAGAGACTTTCAGATGCTGCATGTGTCACCCACTTTGGCCACACTTCTCCCCACCTACCCACCATCTTACAAGAGTATCTTTCAATTGTTATCCACCCCTTCACAGCACTGACATAACCATGCCTCTGCTTAAGGATGCTAGCAGTCCTTGGTAAACAAACAAAGCCCATAAGCTTTCCCCCTTTTTGGTCTATTAAATGTTTTCAAACTAATTGGCACGTTTCTCTGCATCTCTGTTGCCTCCTACTCACTGTTCCTTCCTTGCTGTGTGTTTGTCATTTGGGATCTTCATCTTGAAATCTCAGTTGTACCCTGAGGTAGGCTGATCCTTTAAATATGACTTCCAGGCCAAAGAACTTTTGGAAGCTATGTGCCAACCATGATTGATATCTCTGATTCTAATGTCTCTAGGTCTGGGTGTAACTTGGAATGCTCTTTTTTTGTTGTAAGAAACAATTGAGGGTGTTTTTCAAAAAACAAAAAAACAAACAATGCTGCAACTATTAAAACAGCTGACCTTGGCAAGGGAGAATGTCCCCAGAAGAATTTCATGCAAATTGTGCCAGCCTCAGTCATTCCAATAGGTTCCAAAGGCTGCTCATAAGAGTGTTGGGACAAGACTGTACTGGCAGGCATGGTAATAGTGAGGCCAAATGCCCTTAAATTCATAGCTGTGGTGTCTCTTGGGCAATAGAAACTTCCAACCTGCCAAAACCTGTCCTAGTGCAATTCTATGAGTTATTAGTATGCATCAGCATATAAATGCCAGAGCTCTTTTCTTTTTTGCTACATTTATGGATTTAGAAATAGTTTACAAAACTAATATAGAAAAAAGCTAGGGAAAAGTATAATAATATATCGTATGCCATTTGTCTGGAATGCTCATATCAATTATGCCAGTACAGCTGGTACACCCCAATTAGTCAGTGCTCTTTCTTGTAGTTCCTAGACAGGCACTGTGGTGCATACTATTGAAGGTAAGGTGTGTTTTTTTAATCATCATTAAGCTTTCATGGTGCAACCTTAGCTCTGGGGGCTAGTTCCACTCTCCACATGCATGTTTTAGCATGTATGCTTTGTATAGATATTTATAATTCTGTCCAGATATTTATGCCTCCCTTTTTCTCCATGATGGAGTCCCCAAAACTTACAACTGTTGTTCTCCCCTTCTCCAATTCTTTCCTCATAACAGTAACCCTGTAAGGTAGATTTGGCTGAGAGTGTGACTGGCCCGGGGACACCAAGCTTATTTTGCCTGTACAGGCCCACTTAACAAGCTGCTTTTTCAGAACAGTTGCAGCTTCAGTCTAGGAGTCTGATGCACATAAAAACTCCACATTCCTTGGGGTTCCGATACTGACCTTTCATCCTGGTATTCTGGGGGGGAAAGTTACAATGTTTGATTTAGAATAATCCTACTCTTCCACATTTTTGTTGGATGAAACACATTAGTACGTTATTTTAAAAAGCATAGAAAGGAATCTGAAATGTGCTAGATAAGCAGAAAATACCCCATGTTCCTTGGTAGTGTGCCTAAGTACTTTTCGTTTGTTCATTCTCTCTCTCTCTCTCTCTCTCTCTCTCTCTCTGCCAAAGTGGTAACAAGTCAGTAGCTTGTCTTATCTCTGCTCTCTGTTTCTCTCTCTCTCTCTCTCTCTCTCTCTCTCTCTCTCTCTCTCTCTCTCTGCCAAAGTGGTAACAAGTCAGTAGCTTTTCCTGAACAATGGGGCCCATTATATGGAGCCCTGCTATGCTTGAGAAAGCCTGGCTCAGCCCTTGGCACCGCTCCTTGGGCCAGGAATCACAAAGGGGTGTGTAAGTGGGGGGAAGAGCTGCCATAACAATGACGGGACATCTCAGGCACCAGCGTTTTAAAAGAATCCTCTGTAGGATTCTAAATATGTGGTAGA